TGTGATTACATTGTATATCCCGCTGGACATTTCTCTAAACTGTTTATTCGTATGCCCCTTCACAGACTCGCACAATTAGTCATACCGTATGGAAAGTGCCAATTATTACGCATCGAGGCTAGGCTAGGTACACCAAGACAGCCAGACATTGACCCAACCCTACCCAGGTTCCAGGGCTTTGTTGCGATTGCCTGCAACTCTCACGTCACGTACTCGACAAGACGTGATCTTTTCGTTCTAGACGATCGCTTTTATTTCAGATTGTAAATTTGAAACTTATCAGAAGACTTTATTTCAAATTCTTTTCCTTAAGTTATGCTCATCAGGGAACATAAAGTTAACAGAACTGGCTGTAGATCGAAATTGCAAACTTACATTTATATCTCCTACTATTTTTGCCTTCTAGGTTACGTTCGGATAGAGCCCGTCTCAAGAATCATACTTGAAAATATGAATATATATTTATTCTGAAGTCTTATAGTTACTATGAACAAATCCCATAAATTTAATAATGGCAAAACTATATATTTTACTGCTGATGAGCAATAATTCTAAAATTTTAAAGCTAATACATAGACACTCAATGTAATACACTAACTAAATGAATACTATGTTCCAGAACTAGTGTTCTTCCAAGTGTATGGTAACCCTAAGGTGGACAACTAAGAAAACTTTGTACACGAGAGCCTGGAGTGTGGAGCGGAATCTTAACAGGATAATCCAGGAGATATTCAAAGAATAGGGAAATGTACTGCAGTGGAAGAACTAATATGTATCAATTATATTGTAAAATTGATCCACATACATATTCTAACTGCATCTTAAATATTATATGTTTCTTTCCCGCAACTTTAATGCTATGTTCAAAATGTCATCTGTTGTCTAAGCTCGGAGATCAACGATCAAATTATAACATGTACGTTTTATTGCATCTTCTCCTCTACAGACCACTTACGATATAATACGATAGAGAATTGTTTATGTAGTCGGCACCGCCCGGCTGTCGCAAAACCATTTCATTTGCTTAAATTAGTTCACTATTTCCTGCCTATCCAGCAGACCTTTGGTATCTGTAGTTAAGATCCCAAACAATAAATAGAACTGAACCTCGATTGCTCATTCTATCATATTTATGACACAGCTCCTGCGATTCCGACTGAATCGATGAATTGATGAGTCAGACTCGCATGATTTCTCGAATTTAATTATACAATAACAACATTAGCACACTTAACAGCTATTTCCCAGTTAGTTAGGGCTCGTTCGGCTCGTTTGGTAATTACTTGTGAAAGTCTTTTGGCGGACGCTGCGTGAAGAGCAGGCGTGCCAGCTGCGCTTGCTGCTGGGCGCAGAGGCTGCTCGACGGCTGGTCCACGGCCGACTCGGGCGTCACGGACTGGCGGACGAGCTCCCTGAGGCTGGCTGAGATCTTGGCAGTGCGGAAGCGCGCCTCGTGCTTGCGCTGCCGGCAGTCGACAAAGCGTTGCGATTGCTGCCGCTTGCGCTGGATGTCGTGCTGCAGTTGCTCGCGCTTCAGGCGCTCCGATAGCTGGCGCTCGCGCCAGTGCTCCTCGTGGTGCAGCTGCTCGAGCTGGTTGTCGTGCTGCAGCCGCTTCAAGTAGCTCTCAAGCAGCTGCGAGCGCAGCTGATCCGCACGGCGCAGTCGCTGCGTGAGCCGGATGCACGTGTCCCGCTTGCGCAGCGTCTCGTCCAGCTGCTGCTCCTCCTGCTGCAGACTGACCGCCTCGCTGCGACGCGACTCCTCGCAGCGTCGCTGGCAGAGCGTCAAGTCGCGCTCCAGACGCATCGCCGCCAGGCGCTGCTTGGCCGCCGCATCCTTGGCTTCCAAGGCGCCGCGCAGCCGCCGCAGCTCGGCTAGATCCCGCTCAGCCAGCGCCTGCAGCCGCGCCTTGGTCAGCAGGTAGTCCTGGAACTGTTTGTCGTGCACGGCCCGCTTATACTCCTCCAGCTGCTCGCACTTGAGCAGCTGTCGCTCCAGCCGCTCGTTCTCCCAGTATTTGCGTGCCAGCCACGCGTGCTCCTTGTCCGCCGCCCGCTCGCTCCGCTTCACAGCCATCCGATTCAGGATCCTCTGATCGTGGCTGGGCACTCGCTCAAAGGCAGCGCGCACCGTCGGCGCCAGGCACAGGCTGGCCATGGAGGCGCACAGCGAGCTGTGGCCCTGCTTCTGGCCCAGCGGCACCAGCGACATGTTCTCCTGCGACTTGGACCTGGCGCGGCTGCCACCGATGGCCAGCGTCGAGGCATCGGTGCCCCTAAGTGAGCCGAACACAGTCTGCAATGACATGGACCCGAGATTTTTAAACAAATTGAGGAAAATTCCAATATTGTGGATGGAAAACAAAAGGCTTCACAGCTTAAGACATTTTCAAGGACAAAGGGGGCACTTTTCGGACTTAAACTCAGTGTATTCCTCGGGCAATTTATCTACATTGCGCAAATCTACACGAGTCATATCATAGATTTGGATTTATTCGGTAAGTCCGAATTTGATCATACTAGTTAGTATATAGGCAATATACAACGATTGGCGCCTAAGGCCCTTGTCTGCAGGCATGTGCAACTGAAGGTGGCAGACAAGCCTCAACTCTAACCAGGTGCATTGGGCCACCACTTTATCATATGGTTGATAACATTCAACTCAACTGAGTCACTCGCAAATGCTTGAATGAGGAATGAAAAATAGTTCATTTGTGTTGATTTAACTATTGTTCCTGTTTTTCCTTTCCCTGCTCCTCCTCCTACCCCTCCTCCACCTTTCAGTTGTCCCTCGATCTGTCTGTCTGCAGGAGTGATTCAAGCTAGATACTTGAAATTTGTTAGTCTAACTCTATACTCGTGCGTAGCCCAGTTATTGCTTAAAACCTGGAGGGCTGGGGTTGTGATAGATAGACATATCTACAATCAAATCGCGCTAGGCGCATTAGTATCTTTCACAGTCTTGGAATGGGAACTCAGCTTGCCACGAGGATTACTGCAGATCTGTAATATGCATCGGGCACGGCGCGTATTCAATTCACATTGCCTGAAAAATCGTGACTTTCTATAAGGAGCTCAGTATACGATATAACGTAATAGGATCTGGGATGCGCATCTTTGGTACTCAACTTAAAAGGTTCACTGAGTAAGGTAAACCTTTCAAGGCCAAGATGCCTTTCGAAATTGGTATTGCTTGGCATCACCTTATTTGCTGAATCGATACCAAATACTATTTCAAGGAGCAAAATGTCCGCTCTAGGAAAATGCAATGAAATGAATGTATGCACTTACCAACGCGGAAGTCTCTAGTATTTCAAATACGCCTTGAATACATATGATGGTGAGGGGGTGGATATCGGGGTGGGGGTAAATTTGAACAAAAATCAAAGATATATAAAATACACTCTTAACTCTCAGAAATTCAAATTATCGAAAACGAGTTATTTACAAATTATCGAGACTCGACTGTACTATTAACAGCAACTACAGTATCAAGTAGTAGCTAGTTATCTGTTTCTCCTCCTCCTCATTCACGTCGCACTCACCTGGAGCATTTCGCAGTCGCGCAGGCCACCCGTGCGACCAGCTCGCTGCTTGGAAGGTTTCTCTTTGACCCGAGCCTCCAGAGGCTCCTCCCGGGAGGGGCAACGGTTGCTGCCCGCACTCTTGGAGCGCCTGCTCCTGGACGCTGTCGAGACGCGTGTGAGGCACTCTGCCGAGCCGCGTCGACTCTGCGGGATGCGGGGCTCCGCTGGGGACTTGGAAGCGCTGATTTGCCTGCTGTGTCTGCGCACTCGACTGCCGTCTCTGTTGGCGCTGCCCTCGCTGCGCTGCACCTGCTCCAAGGCGCGTATCTGTTGATCCAGTTGCTTCAGCTGCGTCTCTGTGTTTGCTGAGGCACGAACAGGTCCACTCCCATTGCCGCTGCTGTGCGAACTGTAGCAATCACAGTGGCATATATCGCAGCAGCTGTCCGTTAGCTCCAGGGCAGCGAGCAGCTGCTTGTGCTGCTCCTTGGCGCGGCTTCTGCCGCGCTGACGCTTCCTCTTGGGCGTCATCCTGCTCAACAGTCCATCACCGACTCCAGATGCAGGCCACACTCTTCACTCTCAGCTCTAAGCCTTAACTTCTTAGCTGGCGCAATAATTCGAGCTGCATTCCAGCTGAACTTTTTGGTATATTAATTAATCTGCTCGTAAACCCAAAACCCAAATTCCTGCGCACCTGCAGTGGCCTTTTCTACCTTCCACTTAGATTTGTTTACTTTTCTATTGATTGGCCATTCGCCCGTTGCCCTTGGCAACGAGTTGTCGATTTATTTTTATTTTGACTTTGACTTGCTTCGTGCCTTTCATGTTTCTTCTTCTTTTTGGAACACTTTCGAGGTTTCCGCTGATATTTCTGACCGGAAATTGGCTGTGCCAATTAGAGCACGAGAAGTGAAAGGAAGCATTTCGAAGGACATGTGAATATAGAAGTTCAGCTATTTACAAAATTTCTAAAACACTTCACGCACGCAATGCAACGAAATCTATCGAAATTGGAATAGAAATAAAGATCTAAAAGAATAATTCGACATATCCTCTAATACGGAAAATACATAAACATGATCTACATCATACTAACTAAAGTTAGTCTAACAAATTGCATTTCGAACATCATCTATATATTGAAATTAATTAATTCGTTTGGTATACATATTTCTATATTATGAAATAAATAACATACATTGAATAACATCCCGATTTCCTTCATATCGTTGAAATGAACAGATTTGCAGTTCCTAACGGAAAAGCAAACATGTCTGAATAGGGGTCGCTAATAATTTACATACATACACACAATTTACACCATCAATGCTTGTCGTAATATATAATACTGACAATAACCACGGAATAAATTCATAATAATAATAATAAGATCATAAATACACATCGATCAATTTTCTACTAAGTAATATTGCTCTCTTCATCTACTTTTGTTCTTCAGCTGAGGTCAGCTCAAGCGAAATGCCTATTCGAAAACTAAAGGTATCGAGGTGAACGGAAGCACCGGGCAAGACGGCTCCAGCTGCAGCGAGGTGGCAAAGCAGTCAGCAGATGAATTGTAATCGCCTAGTGTTTCCATAACCTGGCCCAGCGAGAACCTGCAAGATCAACAGCTGAGCATTTAGCATGCCTGAGTTTGGCGCATTCATTAAACACTTGCCATATCTTTGGACAGTTGGGATCCAATTTAGCGGCATCCTTCAGCATTTTCTCAGCCAGCCGCGGCTCGCCCAGTATTAAATGCGTCTCGCCTAGAGCGCGCAGAGCTTCGGTATGATTCGGATTGGCGGCAACGGCATTCAGAAAGCATTGCTTCGCATCCAGCCACTGCTCCAAATAAACATGCACCTGACCGCGCTGCAAAGTGCATGTTAGACATAAGATGCTGTCGATGGCGATAGGCGATGTGCGAAAGGCCAACTCACCATGAACATAATTTGATGCGAGAGCGGATATATTTGCGTGGCTTCGTGTATGCAATTGAGCGCCTCGTTCGGTTGGTCGATGCGCATATAGACATCGGCGAGCAGCAGCCAGATCTACAGAAGGACATGTATGTGATTAGTGTCAGCTGTACAATATGATTTACAGTAGTAAACCAATAACCCACCTCGATCTGCAGCATCCAGGGACGGCGCGGCCCCGGCCTCTGGGTGAACGAGCTCAGCGAGCTAGCCGCCTCACTGAGCGCCTGTTCTACGCGCGAGACTGCGGCCAGCGAGGCAGCGTAGACGGAATCTTAAAGTTGCGATAACAAGTTGAGAGTTACAAATGAAACGAGAGTGAAAATATGTTAGATTAACCAGCTCGAGTTGGAGAGTACTAAAAACAACAGTATACACAATCAGTAATCGTGCCTAAATTTCAAGAAACGCATGCGAGAGGTTGCAAAGAGGTTTAAGAGCAGGCAAGGCAGAAGAATGTACAACATAAACGAGAGAAGATCCGAAAGGCAGAAAGAAGAAGAGAGAGCAAGAGAGAGAAAAAGACAGAACCACAATGTAGAAGCATAAAAAGAAGCAATTTATACATTTGCAAAGAGATAATCCTCTATTCCTCTAATTTTCCTGAACTCGACCCCAGGTGAAATTTAATCAACTCCAGAATCTGAATACGAAATGAATTTGGAAAATAGTGTTTACATTTGGATCTTTGAAGTCACTATAATATGCTTAACAAATCAAATCTATGCATATATATGCCGATCGGACCGGATAGAAAAGATGGAAAAAAACCTGAAATAGATTATTTCATAAGTAGGTTGGATATGAATTGATTCCTCACAGAAACAATCAGGTGTAGAAACAAACAAGATATGAACAATATGAACAAAATAGAAGATCTCAAAATACAATAAAATTTGAGGGCTAATAATTTTAATAGAATAGATTCATTTCGCCATAACTAAGCTAAAACGTTTATGTGCATATGATAGAAAATTGAAAGAAACTTGAATTATTAATTGATCATTTCTGTGATGAATTCAGTTATCAATTACTTCATAGCTATTCACCTCATGCATCTTTAAACTAGTCTTTCATAATCTTTCCTGAATATATTAGATTAGTGACTTTAAAATTCCTGCATCTACTATCTCTATCTGCATCTAATTTATTTATCATCTATATTGCAATTGTACAAGGACGTCGATTCCAGCCGACGTTCCACTCAAGCAATTCTCGTTCTTTAATTTGCAATTAAGACTTACAATTATGTTTTATGTTATTTATGAATGTTTTTTTTTTTTTTTTTTTTAAGTAGACAGACACATTCCGCAGAAGTTGGGTAGTTACAAAGATGTCATAGATTTATATAAATATATATATGTATGCGTATGTGTGTGTGTGTGTGTAGGTAATGTGTTTTTGTATTTATACAGAACATATGGTTAGTATTAGAGGCAGGAGTTGTTTTGCGGTCTATTGCGATGTTGACGCACGACAAAAACTTACTCGAATCCTTGTCGGACATTTGCGAAGAGTGAATCAGGTGGATGCCACTCTTGGTATCCGAATGCTTCTCCTCCTCGCCCGCCAGCTGCGCCTCGTACAGGTCCCGCCAGACGGCGAGCATGTGCTGCACCGTGGACAGCGCCGTCTCGGCGTCTTCCAGATTCAGTTGGAGATGCGCCTTCACATGCAGCAGCTGCAGATTGTCGGGAAACTCGTGCAGCGCGTCCTCCACCACGCCCAGCGCCTCGCGCGGACGTCTCGAGGCCGTCAGCAGCAGAGCGAACAGATGCAGGCAGGGCGCATGCTCCATGCGCAGCGCCAAGGCGAAGCGAATGTGGCTCAGAGCCTCGCCCAACTGATTGAGGAGCGCGTATTGCAGCGACAGGTAGTACTCGGCCAGGTGATCGTTGCCATCGTGCTGAACGGCGCGCTCCAAGGCCTCCAGAGCCAATTTATTGTAGCTGTCGCGATCGCTCTTCAGCGTGGCCTGAATGGCCAGCTGCTGGTATCCAATGCCCACAAAGAGCTGGCTCCGGGACGGACGAAGACCTAAAATGTATTTCAGAGAGTTAGAGAGAGAAATAGAGAGGCACAAGTGAACAATGTGAGTCCGCCTGCACTCACCCTTCACTTCCCGCTTGAGCGCTTGCTGCGCATAGTCCAGCCCCTGCTTCACAGTCTCCAGACTCTCGTAGCAGATGCGCGAGGCCAGCAGGCAGGGCAGCGGATCGCCCGGCGTCAGCTTCATCGACTCCTGCAGCACGCGCAGCGCGTACGCGTGCTTCTCCGCGGCCATCAGGCTCAGCCCGTATTGCCGCCAGATGTGCTGCTCGCCAAAGCTGAACTTGAGCGCCTTTTCGAAGGACTCGTTGAGCAGCTGCACCAGACCCCAGCGGATCGTGGCCAGCGCCAGCAGATCGTAGACGGCGGTCACATTGCCCATGGCGTGCTGTCGCGCCTGCTTGAATTCCGGACTCTGCGACAGCACGGTGTCCCGCACAGCCAGAGCCTCGGCAATGAGCAGCAGCAGGATCACTTCCTCCTGCTGATTGCGCGGCGTGAATTGCTGCCTGGCCGCGTACTTGCGTGGCTTCCACAGCCGCTTGGCTGCCCCGCCGCCACGCAAGGTGCTGCCACCCGACTTGGTGGTGAACGGAGGCGTGTAGATTGTGCCCGACACGCCACGGAGCAGCACCTCAGCCAGCTGCCGGGCCAGCGTCAGGCGCAACGATTGCGTCGCACGCGTCTCAATGGCATTCAGCATAATGCGATATCTCTCCACGGCCACTTGCAGCTTGCCCGCCTTAATCAGGACGATGGGCGCTCGCTGCAGCGCCGTCTCCAGGATGGCGCCCATGCGGCGATTGACTTCTAGGGTTGCGCTGCTGCTCGGAATGGTGCTGCTGATGGCGAAGCTGCTCGACGACTGCTGCACCCCGGCATTCACGTTAAGTGTGGAGCCGGTAGTGGAATTGTTTGAGGAGCTGTTGCTTCCACTCACGATGTCGTACTCCTGCAGGTAGAGCAGACCCAAGTCCGAGGCGCGCTCAAAGCAGCAAATCTGATCAAGGGTGAAGAGGTTGATTTGTTGTTACTGCTCTGTGCGAGCTTAAGCAGCAGGATCTTACCATTTCCGTATCCTTTTCGGCTTTCTTGAACTTGGACGTGGGCTTGTGCGCCTGCTGCTCCAAGCAAAGGCCCTTAATAGCGTACGATTCAGCCAGGATCTTCAAGCTGCGCCTGTTTATATATCAAATGTATATATGTATGAATAAGAATCAGAGAATATATCAGAAATAGGGAATTACTTACAGTGTCAGCTCCTTCTCGGCTAGCGTATTCAACTCCGCCTTAATGAAGTTCTCCAGACTCTGCTCGTACTCGCCGCAGGCGTAGCAGAGCTTAGCCAGCAGCAAATACGCATCCAAGGCAATGCCCGCCTTTTGGCCACTCTCGCCCAAGGCAAGATTTAGATAACGCCTCGCCTCCGCCAAGCCATTTTTGGCTCGTCCAAAGGTCGACTCGGCGGCCACGGCATGCTCTTCCAGGTAGCTTTCCAGCCGAGCCTCGCCTATCAAGAAATTTGCCAAGCACTCTGCAAAGCAGTTAAACAGTTCAGTGATTGATTTATTTGCTTTTTATTTAGCTTTCGTTTCTTTTACCGTTATGTGGCGATCCCGTTTTCAGCTCGTCCGTCAGCTCGATGACGCGCTGCCATTTACCCTCGCTGCGGCAGCTCTCTATGAGAGCTTCGACCTTGGTCGTGTTGTTGCGCGTGCGATTGGCCATAACAGTTAACTAATTAAGCGGCCAGCACGTTTGTTCCTTGTAATTTGGTATAATAATTTCAACTTTTAATTCGATTACAATTTTCTGCAACACACACACACAGCCACACTTACATTAACTTGAAGCACAGCGTTGCCACCTGCTCAAACGCACCTTCTCATTACGTCACACACTCAATATGTGCTGTCGAATACCAACAATCTTCGCTGATATCATAATATCGTGTTATCCATATCAATTTTAAATGCCGGACTTAGTAACTAGCACACTTGTCAGTTTTTAACACAGACTGTTCTGACATACAAAATATGACATCTCACATACATCATGCATATGACAATCTTCTAATTATTTTCATGGGAATGTTGTGGAAAAACAAACAGCTGTTTATCAAATTCCAGCTATTTTTACATTCTTTAAAAATATTTAGTATTTTCTTATCGATTATTTGGCATTTTTTTGCTCAAGCAAAGCAGACACTCTCAATGCAGTTCCAATTTTGTTGTTGCTCGATATACACGCGTTGTGCATGAAATTTTCTTGATATATAAAATAAATATTAATGCGGCATTTTGGTGACAACATTTAATGCTACTTAAGCGTGCCGTTTGTGAGTTAAGCAAATCAAAAGTACAGGAACGTAATATAATATATATTTAATAATGCAGGTGCTCGACAACCATTGAAAATTGAAAATTCAATTGAAACTTATTACGCAGATAACTTTATTTAGCTGTGCAGCACCAATAAAATAACGGTAAGGTATTTAGTCTGTTTATACTGTGCAATTTAGCTAAAAGCGCATATACATGCGCATGTACGCCCAAAGCGCAGTGTGACCGTGCGTATATAAAAGCTAAAATGTGAATCTATCTATATACATGTGTGTGTACCGCAGCTTAGGCTAACGCTCAGCTGTTTCGTTGTGTTGTCGCTGTGGACGCCGCAATCGATGCATACATGTGTGTGCCTATGTGTGCTGTCAGGTTGACTACTGAGAAAGCGAGAGTGCAATTAATTACGTGTATTTATTGCCGTTTATCCATTCGGTTTAACGCAATTATAACACACTCACATAAGTCCTCGAACTCATTCTTATTGAATATCTGTGACACACACACACAGAGCTCTCGAGCTTTCGATTTGCAGTTACCGCTTTTAGTCAAGTTCAATTGTTGCAATTCGTAATTTTTATTTCCTGCCAATTTTACGCTCCATTTGAGCAATAAAAAAGAGCGCTCGGCTTTTATCGCGTGTCTTGTCGAAGTTGATGTTAATTGCCTTAGCTTTTTGCATGTCATTTTGTCCGAATCTGGCCCTTTAGTGATTCATTGCATATTCTAACAATAAAGATAACAAACATTTACTCAAAACAAACATTTGAATACACACCCAAAATATAAACGAATGACCAATTGTGCGCGCCAAATTAAAATCAAAACAAAATGCAAAATAGCGGCAAACGCTAAAATTTATAATGGGTAAGTGCGTGCGCGTGTGTGTGCATTGTCCTCTCTCTTCCTAGCTCTCTTTGTGTGTGTGTGCCCGCGCAGGTTTACGCGGATTTGCAACGACGATTCACGTGCTTATGACGTAATGACAATGATAATTACAAAGCGAGTAGTCTCAACGACAATGAATCAAAAACATGGTTAGATTGAGGATGAGTGGAAGTATCATTATGACAGTGGTAACCATCTGCTGAAAACGTTTCATGTAATAGTAAAAACAACATTTACCAATTTGTCTCTTTTGTATTATATGTACATACATATGTATTTACATACATTGGTTCATTTATATACATACGAGTACACATTTCCCAGCTATGACTTTCCTTTGTCCGCTCGTCTCCAATTTAGTCAAGCTGTTGCACTGTGCATTACACTGCTCTGGTTACTCTGTGCAATGCCAGCAGGTGGCTACGATTTGCTTGGGTGTGTATGTGTGTTTGGGGATGTGGAGCAGACAATTGTTTAGTGCCTTGAGAGTAGCCATAGTCGTTGCCGCCATTAGAGAAAAACATGCATGCTGCGCTTAACGGCATATGTGCATCAGCGTCGCGTCGTTGCTGAAGCCCAGCTGATGTGGGACACAGGCAGAGTGGAAGAACCGCGATGTGAGATAGCAGCAGCAGCTCTCAGGGCAGAGTGCGTATTGCATTTGCGAATCGAAACATTTTCTCTCTCCTTGACTGCGAGAGTGAAACATGTTGGAATTTGAAACGAACATTTGCTGCTAACTTTTAGAGCAGTAAGTAGTGTGCGTGTTATTGCTGCTCTGCTCTTGTTACCGTTTTATTTTTATATTCCGCTGTTCTTGTACATACATATGTATGTACATACATATGTATATTTCGACAAGTGTTTTATTTTTTCTTTTGTTCTATGCTTCTCTGTTTACTTTTGTTGTTATAACGTCACGTTTTGTTGTTTGTGTTTTTCTTTTATTTGCATGCGACGCTTTGTTTTTTCGTAGTCGTATTTATTTGCTTGTTGCTTTTTTGGCAGGTGCCATCTTCCCCTACTGGAAGACCTAGCCTTAAGTCGCTGCACGTGCCTTTTCTGCGTGCGTCTGTAAAAAATTTAACTTGCTTGATATACCCTGTGAAGTTGACGAAGTAATTGTTGGGAGCTCGATGATATTTTTAAATATTAATTCCTTAATAAAATTTAAATTGTTCAATTTAATTATGGGGTATACAAAGCAGCTCATTAAGAATTGAATAATATTTGATTATATTGTTTCATTCCATAATTATATTTACTAGTTGGGAAGATATTAAAAAAAAAATAAAATAAAAATAAAAATGGCGCGGGCTTACACGGTATTACTGGTTGGTTATTTTCGTGCATTACCTGCATCTGCGTTCCAGTCACGACTTTGAGCTTGTAACTCTGCCATTTAATATGGGCACACACACTTACATACATGCATGCATATATATTTTGCGCGCCTTTTTATGTGCTCTCGCAGTGCCAATGCTGTCTGGCAAAGCACCCACCCCCGCTTCAATCCTCTCTAAGCATAACATGTTCTCTTTCGCATTTGAATGGACACATCTGCTGCCACCCTTTACCCTTTCTCCTTCCTATTTTCCTTCTCTTTCGCACTCTCTTGCGCTCTAGCGCTGTCGCGCATCGCTTAGCAAATTACATGATGTCAAACGCTTTTCTTGTGTTTCTTGTTTCTTTTTTCGCCTTTTCTTTTTGCTCTTTAATGAACTTTTGAAGCTGAAGCTAAAGCTTTGTTGACCTCCTTTTTTAGGCAACGTCTAGCGAAGGCGGCCCCTTCCCACTGTTCCATTGGCTCGCCTTTATTTCAACGGGAACTTTGATGCCCAGCGATAAGGCATTCAGCAGCGAAACCTTGCGGGCTTTGTCTTCAATTTACATAGGACTTTTGCTCCGTTATCTATTTTCTGTTCGAGTCATATGTATGTATGTGTTTCGCTTGCTCGTCTGCCTTTGCCAGTTTCTTGGTCATAAACAAGTGCGAAACATAAACATGACATACATAGTGCCGACACACACACACACACACACACACACACACACACACACACACACACACACAC